ATGAGAAGATAAGGTGGAGACGAGTGACTTATTTTAGGGGTAGTTTAGGTATTTTACGAAAACAGGTAACATGCAACTTATTTTGGTACGGAGAAAAAAGGCAAACATGCAATTTAAAATGGGGCAGAGGGAGTATTATTTTACTTTGGTTTTTTGTCTATGGTATTAAATATTATGTGAGAAGTATATTTTCTTTATTCCAAAAAAATTACATTGAAAAAATTTCAGAATCGACAAAAAATTTGTTCAAAAACGGAGTCAAAATGCTAGTTATTCTTTAAAAACGAAGTAGCCTATTCCATTTTACATTTAACAAGAAAGTTATTTTACATTTGCGTATAATGGAATGTTAATCATTTCCTTTACATAAATCAAGAAATCACCCGGTGTATACGAGGTATATATACACATATCAGCAATAATAAGTCAGTATATCCATCAATGTGTGTTATAATGTCATAATAAATTATATATACTCCGTATATTGTATAAAAATAGACAATCACCTTAGTTTAAGTGATAAAATACGGAATAAAAGATTTGTACATGAAATTAGTTGTACATATAATTCAAATATGCTTTTCTTAAAAAAGACATCAACCAATGAGTTATTAGGTGTGACTAGATTTGAGTTTAATTTGTTTTGAATTTGATCAATATTGAGCCTAATTGGTTTTGGGTCTAATAGATTTCGAATCTAATCAGTTTCAGGTCTAATCGATTCGGGTTCAATCGGATTTGGATCTGACTTAAGTCTGAATACATTTGGTTCAGTTTTGGTTTGGATCATTTCGGGTGTTCGGGTTTAATACAATTTTTAGTTGTCGGGTTATTTCGGGTTCGATTCCGAGTTATTCGGTTCGGAATATCAGATTCAGATCTGTTTTGCCAAATCTACTCAGATCCGGTCAAACGGTCATTGAGAGGAGTTAAATTGAACTTTGATCGCAGATTAGTAATAAAAAGAGAGTCTGCTTAGGCACGCAAATGTGCATTGGGGGAGAGGAGAAAAGAGTCAAAACCCATTTTGAGTTTAGAAATAGGGAACCACTGGACAAGGCTATACTGCAAAAAGAAAATCCCCTGAATAGAAGTAAAACATAGATCATATCCTCAAAATAGAATTTCAAAATTAAACTCCCCTAAATAGGAGTAATTAATTAAATATATATTTTCATTAACCCTCCTAGCTGCACAAACAAGTTGGCCGCACTAACCAAGTTGGGCGCACAAACCAAGTTGGACTCCCAATACTCATTAAACAAAACTATGGCAAAAAGTAGAGTTACTTGACATTTACCCCTTTTTGACATTATGCATTAACATCTGTGATATTTAACATTATATATTGATATATCTTTCATTATACATTACCACGAATGATATTATACAATGTCAATGTTGACATTATCTATTTAATTTGTTTAGCATTATCCATTCACATCTTTAGCCCAATGTTTCGTATGGAGTATGTACACAACGGTCAATGGCCCGTTTAACACGATTGCTCGTCTGAAAGTCCATATCCAGCGGCTCGTGGTCCTTTAGGTGTTGGCGCTCAAAAAAAAGTCAAGGGAATGGGAGTTCATTTGCAAGTGGTCAACCGGTTAGATTCAAAATGGCCCAGTTGTCCATTTGATGGGGAGTGTTAAGAATATCCCACATCGGAAAAGTGTGAGGAAAATAATTGGTATATAAGCTCTTGAGTTGAACTAACTAATCGATTGGTTTCAATCTTTTAATGTGGTTCGACTCAAGTGTCTTATTACCCAATCCAGTCGTCCATATCTCATCCCAAATTCTATCACACATGTATGACTTTATACATTGGCATGATTTCCATTATACGATTACATGTGATATTTAATGTGGTCTTGTTTGACACTTTATGGACATTTTAATTTAGCAATTTACTACGTTTCTATATGTAAGGTATTGATTCATTTTTTGATGAACTTTTGGGTGTGTTTTGTTATTATATTTAATTTTTTTACGTTCAAATTTGTTGTTTTTTTAGAATTATGCATTCACATATATGACTTTATACATTAGTATGATTGTCATTATATGATTACATGTGACATTTGATGTGGTCTTTTTTGACACTGTATGGACATTTTAATTTAGCAATTTACTATGTTTCTATATGTAGGTATTGATTCATTTTTGTTGATGAAGTTTTGGATGTATTTTGTTATTGAATTAATTTTGTTTACATTCAAATTTGTTATTTTTTTGTCAATTCAGTTTTGTTAATGATTCAATAACAATTTACTATAAATCAAGATGACTGAACGAGAGTTCTTGCCAACAACACGCAGCCTGGAAAGTTTTTCTTTAATAATCATACGATTGATTTGGGCGACAGTTTGTGGAACTACTTGGTAAAGCAAGGGCAATGTTCTAATGGTTATTATGTTACAATATTATGTTCCCATGGAAGAGTTGAAGAGGCACTAGTCTTCTAAGCAAATGATAAGGTGTTAAAATAAACTAAATTACATTTTTAACATTACTGAATTTTTCCTAATTTCTAGAGTTGTCGGAGGTTGATACTTAGAGGCTTGGAGTATATGAGTGTTTAAAAGAGTATGAAAATTTATAATTTTAAAAAAAATAATTAAATAAAGAGATGAGGAAATTGCATGGAAGAGTGAAGGTCCTAATTGGAAACAAAGGATTTGAAAATCCATGCATGAGGCGGCTTAGAACAGTGCAGCGAACTCCGGGATTGAAAATTCAGCACATGTACGAATAAGGAGTTTTGGAATTTAGTCATTGTTTAGTTTTGGGAGATGCATGAGTCATTGTTTTTGGAGTAAAAAAATTAGAGTCATTGTTATGTTAATTACTCCTATTTAGGAGAGTTTAAGTTTTAACTCCTATTTTGGAATATGACAACTCTTTTACTCCTACTTTGATCCATCTCCCAACTGAAAAACTCAAGATTTGAGTGAAGGTTGGAAATTTCAAAAAGCCCCGTACCTCTCATGACAATGCATGTACTCCCCCTTCTCGAACATATTCCCCCGTCCCTAAATAGATTACAAATTGCGGGTTAGGACAAAATTTCCTATTTTTTGAAATTATTTTATTTACAAATTGGTATATCAATAAGATATAAAAATTTCATATTAAAAAACTACATCAAAAGTTCTACAAAACAAGAGGTGACAAGAATATTTTATTTTATCAAATACTTAATGAAATCGCGTAAACAAATAAAAGTTATCGAGAGTAGAGAAAAAAATTGTAATCTTTTTAGGGACAGAGAGAGTATAATTTTTAAATATAAAAAAATTATTTTTTAATTATACCCTAATTTTAAAATAGATCTTATTAAAATTATTTTTAGTCAAATATGATAAACTGTAACTTTAGTGAGAAGCGCTCATTATTTAGTATTCTATACCTGAAAAGGTCTCATTTTTAACTCCAATCTAGTGTTTTAGATGTTTGAGAATATTAATTATGTCAATTTATTTTTTTAAAAAATGTTTATAATCTAAAGCCTTGACTCTGGAATCCTAAATTTGGATAACTTACACTATGTTTGGTTCAAGGAATTTGAAAAGGAAAAGAAAAGAAAATGAAGTGGAAAACTGTTTTTCTTGTTTGGTTAGAGGGGAAAAGAAAGGAAAAGTGGAAGAAAAAGAAAATGAGAAGGCAAAATGTACCAAGTGAAGGAAAAACCAAAGTCCTTCCATTTTGGTGAGGAAAATGAGAGAAAACCATTTTCTTTTCTTTTCCTTCCAAATTGCTTGAACCAAACATAGTGTTAAGAGCCCGGGAATATCACATTATTTTCTTCTTACGGGCTGTTTGACAACTTCTGAATAGGTAAGCGCTGAACTAGTAAGAGGTCTGAACCATTAAGTGTTGAACCAGTAAGAGGTCTGAACCATTAAGAACTAGTATATTGCTTAACTATTCAGAGGCAAATGTCTGATCAATTCAGATAAGAGGTCTTAACCATTCAGACTCTGTATAATACTTAATCATTCAGAGGCAAATCTCTTAACCATTCAGACATCTGAACCATTAAGAGGCTGAAACAAACAGCCCTTAGTTTGTTTCGATTGATTTTTAACGCATAGTATCAACATTTTTGAATTGACAAAAATATACAGAATTCAACATGTCTGCAGAATGTGTAGTGTAAAAGAAACATATAAGGAAAAAAATTTCAGTCATCGAAATTCATACATAACTGGTATCATAATAAAGACTAAACACGTTTGAATTTAAAAAATAAATATTTTAAAATATAAAATCTAATTAAAGTAAAAGAAACTAAAAAAACTCGGGAGGTTTACACAGGCATGAAAAAACAAAATGGCAAGTAAAATAAAACTTGGGTGGTTGTAATTTGTGTGAAACTAATAAAGAGAAATCATATGAACCTACTTGTCGGGTAAATAAATAGGAAGAATTTGGGCATAAGGACGTCCCCGGATACCCAAATAAAATCGTTTCGAAGACAGAAAACACGACACTTACTTAAGAATCCTTATATGATACTCCATAAAAAAAAGATAAGTCTCATTCCCAAGGATACTCTCAGACTCGATCGGACGGTCACTGAGATGAGATAAATTGATCAGATTGGTGGCAAAAAGTAGAGTCTGCACCTGGTACTTGCAGAGGCTCTATGCTTAGCATAATTGTCTTCCAACGCAGTTGTCAGGAACCAAACTCAAATCTTACCCCTTGACACTTCTTGCCTTGCCAACTGTGCAACGTTCACCGACTTAAAAAGGGTGCAACACGAGATAATGCCGGGAATGTAACCCGGATCCGTACATGATAAAGGCTAATGGAGATGTGTGTGTTTTATATAGCCCATATTGTAAAAATTAATAAGAGGGAAAATATTCTGTATATTGAATTGACTTCCGAATACAAAGATCAAACCTTCTTTATATAGGAAGAGAGTAAACTTCTATTTCCATCATATTTCTATTCCTACTAAAACAATAAATAAACGAAAGATACTAAATCGAATCCCAAAAGGATTCAGTTTCCTTCTTTTATCCAACTTCATTCTCTTGTGGCCAACACATGTATATAGACAAAGGTAGCAGAAAAAGGATGGAAGTAGAGCTCACACACTGTTCCATCCCATGAACTGGAAGAGCAATCAATCATATTCTTGAAGATGTTTTCTCTTTCAGATGTCCCCTCCACAACTGCAATCCTATCAGCTTACACAGCTTTCACGGCGTCCGCCGTGCTGGTCCGGACAGTTCTGAGCGAGCTCAAGGCCATGGCGGACCAGCTCCTGCCGGGGGACGTCCTGGAAAAGCTCGTCTCGAAGCTCGGGGGCTTCTTCTCCTTCTTCATCTCCAGGACGACGACTCTGGTCATCGAGGAAAACAACGGCCTGGTCCGGAACGAAATCTTCGAAGCCTCGGAAGTTTACCTGAGGACGAAGCTCAGCCCGTCCGCGGACAGGGTAAAGATCTGCAAGGCGGCGCGTGAGAAGAGCCTCTCGTTCATCATCACCAGAGACGAGAAGATAATTGATAAATTCGAAGGGGCCGAGTTCGTGTGGGAGCTGAAACTCTGTTCCCCTACCTTCGATCACAAGCGGGGGGACGATCCGTACTACTTTCAATCGGAGAACAATCCGGAACGCAGATCGTTCGAGCTCAGCTTCAACAAGAAATTCGGAGAAATCGCGTTCGGATCGTACATACCGTTCGTGCTGGAGAGATTCAAGGCGATGAAGGAGAAGAACAAGAGCGTGAAACTCGCGCTGCTGGGGAACTACGCGGACGGGATCGATCTCCACCATCCGTCGACCTTCGAAACCCTAGCGATGGATCCGGCGATGAAGAAGGAGCTGATCGAGGACCTGGAGAGGTTCGTCGGGCGGAGAGACTACTACCGGAAGGTCGGGAAGGCGTGGAAGAGGGGATACCTGCTGTACGGGCCGCCGGGAACGGGGAAATCGAGCCTCATCGCCGCCATGGCCAACTACTTGAAGTTCGACATCTATGAACTGGATCTGTCGAACCTGCGCAGCAATGCGGACCTCCAGGAGCTTCTCCCCACGACCAGGAACAGATCGATTCTCGTGATTGAAGATGTGGATTGCGGCATTGATTTGCAGAACAGAAGCGCTGCAGAAAGGACTCGCAATCTCTTCGATCCAAATCCTACTCAGGTATACTATACTTAAAACCCGCTTAGCATTATCAACCCCTTTCTATACATGCCACAAACATGTGCTTTGCTTGAATTACCTATCTTATCATTAGCATTTGATTAACTCTTTATATTTTAATCATTTTGTTCGTCTATTTTATTACTTATTTGATAAAATAGTATAAAATTTTAATCATCTAGTTTTGTAAATAGTTTGATGTAGTTTTTAATATGTAATTTTTATTTTAAAATTCACACCATTTTTCATATAAAATGATTTGAAAATAATTTCAGTCAAATATTGAAAATAATTTTTGAACAGTGGGAGTATTTGATTGAATTTAAAAATTTTAAAGTAGACTTTTCGATCATATACAACTTAGAAAATAATTTTTGAATGGAGAGTATTTGATTAAATTTAAAAATGTTAAAGTAGACTTTTTGATCATATACAACTTTGGCTTCATTTGGGAGTGAAAAAGTACTATATTAACCTCACACTTGTTACCATCAATGTCACACTGATAGTCACTTGCAGATAGTCTTTATTTTTTATGGTGGTTATTATGACATATTGGTAGACTTTAGTTTCATCCGAGTATCATTGTAGCATATCATTGTAGCATAATTCTTTGGATCAAACATGACTAGCATTAGAATTTGGAAGGCATCTCATCATTTAGATACAATTTGAGAACATAAATCTTAGCCACACAATTATTACTTTCTCTGATCCTAAAAACCTTTCATGTTTTGATTTTTTTAATTAAAGAGTGATACTCATTGACCATAAATTAAACATAATCCAAATAAATAAATGATATAAAAATTTGATATATCAAAACTATATCCTAAGATGAAACTAATTATATTGAAATTAATATGTAACTTTATCACGGGGCAATAAATAACTTGAGTGCTTCATAAGCCAAGCAACCTAAAAAACAAGATTATTGAGGCTTTTTCTTCTTTTTTCTGATGTGCATGCAGTTAACGTTGTCTGGTATATTGAACTTCATTGATGGACTATGGTCGTGTTGCGGAGACGAACGGATCATCGTTTTCACAACCAATTATAAGGACCGATTAGACCCGGCGCTCCTTCGACCGGGGAGAATGGACGTGCACATCCACATGTCCTATTGCACGCCATCCGCGTTCCGAGTTCTGGCATCAAACTACCACAACCTTAAAGACCACGTCAAGTTCTCCGAGATCGACAAGCTCCTAAATGAGGTGAACGCGACGCCTGCAGAGATTGCTGAAGAGCTGATGAAGAGCGGGCACGCAGACGCCGCCCTCGAAGGGGTCATCAAGTTTTTGCACAAGAAGAAAAGTGCAAGTGAAGAAGAGGTTGTGAAGGTGGAAGTGGTTGCAAGCAATAATAAGCAAGTGGAAGAAGAGGATAGTTATATAGTGAGAAGGATGAAGAGGAAGCTCAAAAAGAAGGGAAATATGGTGTGTAGCACATTCAACCGGTCATGATCATTGTCATGATCTGTTCATTTAGGTTTGAGTGTGTGATGTTTGATTTGTCTCTTGTTATCCTAGAATATAATGGAATGGCTAGCTCCTCTAAGCCAATTTTATGCACAAAAATATTATTATGATGGACTCATTGTTTTCAAAAAAATACCCAACTAGAGTTCAAACATATTTTATATATCAAAATAAATTTTTTAATTATTTTATACCAAAATAAGACTTGTAATGACAAATATTGCCAAATAAATTTTAGAGTAAAAATGTCAACACAACATTTCAAATCGTTGCACCGCACCTAAAAATGCCAACGCTCATATTCACTATGTAGAATATAAGAGGTCCTATTTTGGTACAATTTTATTTTTATGTCCTTTTTAAATGGAATTTTTTTCATTATTTTTGAGATATAGTAGTAGTGGAGACAATACCGATCTGGTACTGTTCCGATTCTGGAATCGTCAATTCTCGGCACCGAAGGTAGGAGTATCGTGTAACCGTTGCTGGTACGGTTCTGGTTTTTTTCCATTTCTCAGGATTGTTCGCTTGATTTTCTTTTTAGAAAATATAAATTGGTAAAATGAAGTAACAAAGTGAAAAATAAAATTTCAATCTTAGATACATTAAGTTAATTTTTTGAAATTACATGCCAATTTGAAATTGAAACTACAATCATATTTCAAGAATAATTTATAAAAAAAAGTGAGTTTTGATTTACAATCATACTTTACAAAAGTACACAAAAATTATGGTTTAAAAATAAATTTGGGATGAGATATATCAATTGGAAGTTCCGCCACTTCGATGTCAAATTGAAATTGAAATTTAAAATTTTGAATTTTGATTGACAATCATACTTTACATTACTACTCCGTACATAACAATTATTTTAAAAATAAAATTTGGACAAAATATATTAATCGAGACTTCCACACCTTCCTTCCGTGGTTGTAGCTTCTTTGAAGTATTTTTTTACCAACAATGTTACGTAGTAGTGTTTCTGGGCTGAAAAACTATTGTATTCTCTCTTGGTTATTTACAATACAATGGGGAGTATATATATACAACAAGGTATTCCTAATAGGATTAGGAATGCTAAATAAAAGGAAGCTACCATATACAAGTCTAATACAAATCAAAGACTAATATTCTAATATTCCTTTTCCTTCTCTAACACCCTCCTTCAAGTTGGAGCATGTAGCAATGAAATGCCCAACTTGGGAATCAAGAATTCAAGCCGTGCTTTGCCCAGTGCCTTTGTATGCATATCAGCTAGCTGATGTGTAGTGGAAACATGATCTGTCTTGATGACTCCTCGCAGTAGTTCGTCTCGAACAAAATGACAATCGACTTCGATGTGCTTCGTACGTTCATGGAAAACAGGATTGGCTGCGATATGTAATGCGGCAGTACTGTCACACTTTATGGTCATAGGCTTCGAATGTTCAATCCCAAGAGAACCAAGTAGACTCTTGAGCCACTTTAACTCACAAGTGACCGCGGCTAGAGCTCTGTACTCAGCTTCTGCAGACGATCGGGCCACAGTCGTTTGTTTCTTTGTTTTCCAGGAGATAGGAGATTTGCCAAGTTGGACAAACCAACCAGTGAGGGATCTCCTTGTCAAAGGACAGGCGGCCCAGTCTGAATCACACCATCCCGTTAGCTGCAAGGTATTGCTGGCTGATAAGAAGATCCCTTGACCGGGTTGCCCCTTCAAGTATCGAACCACACCCATTGCAGCCTTCCAGTGATCTTCACGAGGCTCTTGCAGAAACTGGGCCAGTGTATGAACCGCATAGGACAGCTCCGGTCGAGTGACCGACAAATAAACAAGGCGACCAACGAGGCGTCTATATTTCTCAGGGTCAGGAAGTA